AAGCTGCTTTGCATGAGGACCAGTATTTAAGATGCCAGAAAATCCTTCCTAACTGCTCCTTCCTACCAGAGAAGCAGATTCACTCCATCAGAGGCCTTACTAAATATTTTTAAAGCTGAACTCCAGATAAGAAAACTTTAATTTAAATATATTCTTCAATAGCCACAAAGGATATAAAGCCACTTTGAGTGTTCCAAATGCCTTAGTTAACCCAGATATTAACTATAACCGAATCAAACAGTGATCAGACCACAATCTCGACTAGAGGAAGCCACGGCCAGGTGTCAGAGCGGGGAACATGGCTGTGGTCGTGTTCATCACACGATGTGGAGTTTGCGAACGGAAGCAAGATTTTGCCGAACTTTCTGTTCGCGAACCGAATTGTTCGTGAACAGAAGCGTTCGTGAACTGCGGTATTACTGTATTTAGACAATATTCACTTATCCTGGAGTTCAACTTTAAAGAAGAATGATAATGTGAGCAACGTGATTTGCATGATTGTGTCTTTGCAGATTTGATTTCTCATTCACAGTGACTCACAGCCTCATTGTTCCAACCTATAGAATCAGCACACGTAGTCACATGTGAACATATTGTACTTTTCTGGGTTTGAATTGCAATTTTCCCAGATGCTGTTTCTAAGAATTTCTCTACTTCATATTCAAATTACAATCTTTCCACCTCATTATTGTTTAAGTATTTTTTTAATAATGCAATATTTGTTTATTAGAAGGAATGTATGAAGCTAAAAATGACATTACAGAATATACATTTTTATAGTTGATCTCCAGGCTGATAATGTTTAAAACATTGAATGCGGTTATGTATTTTTTAATGACTTTATTTTACCATATCACAAAAAGTGAACAGTCACAGATTGTGACCGGTATTTGGAAAAAAGAGAGTTTGGAAGCTATAAGCTGGTAAACCTAGAGGGAGCATTAACATAATATTGAATACCTCGGGAAACATTGACTTCAGGCAAACCAGTTGAGCCCTTTTTGTTTTTCATTTTTAAAACACAGCATAATGTTTAAGAGATATGATTAATAATGATAAGATGATTAAATAATCAAAAGAAGATTAGAGAAAATAGACAGGAGCAGAGAGGAGAAGGTAAGGCAGGGATGAGGGGAGGTGGGGATAATCATATAAGAAAGAAAGAAAAAGGGGGAAACGTGGTGGTTGTTAGTTTATTTGAGATGTGTTTGTTTAAGTTTTTTCTCAGTCAACCTTTTCTCATGAAAACATTACGTTCACTTTCCAAATTATGGCAGTTTTAGAATATCATAGCTGGTGCAGATTTAAATTAAGTTATAGAAAAATTCAGTTACGTAATTGCTTTGCAACAATTACTTGTTTTATCACTTTTAAGCAAAAGTAAAGCTTTTTGTTGTTTACATTTGTCCAATAAGTACAATAGATGTGTTGGAATTGGTTGGAATTTGCTACATTTAGTTCAAGAAATTCTTTTTTTTGTACGTAGGAGAATCATGAATCAGCCTTCCCAATTATCATTCTACACAATATGTTTAGGAGGATCAGTCCATGTCCGCTTCCGGTAGGTTATTTCATTGGGGATTTTGTAATAGTATACCTTTTTGTTCAGGACATAAGTCCTTATGGTATAAACAACCGGAGCAGATGGAAGGCACAAGTGGGTTCTAGTCATTGTAGATGTGTCACAGATCTCTAGAAGATTCTGAGCTTCATATTGAAGCAATTAGGCTGAAGAATGTTCAAAATTTTTAGCATTTTCAAAGCATTAGCTAGAACGACAGCTGAGGCCTGGGTTCTTAGGTCTACATCGAAGGATTGTGAAACCTTTGTTCTGTTTACCCCTGATAACCTTGGCAATTACTACAGGAATTTGTATTGTTGTTGGTTTTTGGTTTTAACCAGTGAATACGCAGCCATTTTACATTTCTGTGTAATAAACGTCTCAAAGTGGCTCCCTTCAATTTTGTGGGAAACTGGTGTAATGGAACTACTCGTGGGATGCTCTTGGAAGTAGCTTGTGGTTAGTCTTGAGGTTTGGAGGGCAAGTGAAATCCGTAGAGGTGTCAGGTTGGATATGCGTGCTGTAGCCTAGCAAGACTAATTCTCTTCTTGTGTTATTCTGCATCCTCCATTATTTTATTACATATTTCATTCAAGAAAGTGCACTAGTGTGCCCCTCATGGTGGTAATTGTGGTCAAGCTAAATAGATACAGGTTTTTAGCCATAACATTTCTAAGGGGCGGATATTTGGTATCTAGTAGTGGAAGAAGAGGGATGGCAATCCAGGAATGTGTACCTATAAAATCAAGTTGCCAATGGCAGCTCCCATTTTTCTGTTCTGACAGGTTATTTTTAATTTACTTTTCTCCAGTACTCACACAAATTAAAATAAAAAAATGAATATGTAAATACAAATATATGACTGAAAACAGAATGATCCAGTAGGATCAAAAGCATATCATACTGCAGCTTTTACAACTCATGCCCAGGGTCCATGTAACGTAAATTGGGGTGTATTTCCCCACCTGGGAGCCACCACCCATAAAAATCAATGGCTGTATGCGGGTATACGCCAGACTTGTGCAAATACCCGTGCATTATGTAAATGCATGTTTGTGTTCAGCTCCTGGTTTACATTTTAGTACAAAGGAATTGTGCAATACTTAATACATGTCTATGTTTGACTATATGTTAGCACTTTAATCCATTTTGAATATGACTGAATGATTCTAGACCGGTTCTTTGTCATTGTAAGGGACATATTTGGACACATATCCCAAGATGATTACCCTGCCTGGTTCCTGGACAATTATAGAGAGAGTAAATCTAACTACTGGAGCCCAAACACTAATGCAGTACTTTCCTTTCTTTCTTGATTGGAGCTCTCCAGACTGTGTGGTACAGATGTCTAAGATGATCTTTGAGAAATGGAAATTGTAAACCTCTGGATTCCTCTTACTAAGATACACTGTAAACAACTTTATAGGACACAACAGAAAGATGTATAACAGAATGCTTGAATTGTGGGGATTTCTAAAGTTACACCATGGTGACATTTGTAATAATCTATTTAGTGTGTGGTTCCTGTAAGATAGTTCATGTTTTCCCAATAAATGTTTGGTTGTTTGTTTTTTGAATGAATGTAGCATGGTGGCCATATCTATACATATTGTGGTTTAGTGTTTGTAGAGTCCTTAAACAGTGAAGAATTCTTGGGGTATTAGTTTTTGCATATCGGGGATTGCAAACCGGACCACTCTAGGAAGGTTGGCGGTCATTACACTGAAGGGATTTTTTTCATACTTGTGCAACTACATACAGCTGTAATGACATACAACCCCGAGCGCAGACTGTCTGTACTGTTATTGTGAGATGAGATACGGAAAGTGAGTCTCATGCTCACCTATACCCAGAAGTGAATTTCACAGTTTTGATTGGAATATCAAAACAATTGGATTATAGAAGGTTCAGATTGAAATGTTAGTATACCTCAGTATACCTCAGGCCATGTTAGTACAAACCATGTAAGTGTTCAGCGTTTGAGGGTAAATATTTAAAAGAATAAATATAACCAACAATTCAAAAGGGAAAAAAAAGATCTCCAATAAAAGTGTCATGCATTAACTCATGCATTTCATGCATTAAAATCAAGGTCTCTCACTGGTTTTATAAAAGCATCTAAAACTTCTTAGCAGTGAGGTGCTACGCTCACCAAGTTCGATTGTATTATGTTCACATTGTTTAGCTATTTACGGTCTTGAAATACAACTATGCAACAATATAACAAACTATTTATAACGTTGTGTAGGACTATTAAAAAAGAAACCCCAGCTCTGTTGAAAATAAATCTACAAATTGTAAAAGAAGATGAAAACAGTCCTGAACATTTGCTGCCATATTTTAAAATGATTAAATGCAAGATCCTGCTCTCTTTGTAACCACATTTAGGTTAGGTTCAGATATCGGCAATCTCGGCGTTACATCCACGTGGCAATCGGTAAAAAAAAGGTACATGTACCTCTCTTTTGCGACATGTACTTTACATTTTTTTTAAACGCAATCGTGTGTGATTGCAGGGGCGGTATCGCAGGAAACCGTGCGATCTGCCCATCACAACTGGGGTGCCATTAGAAGATAATGGCACCGTCAGCGCGATCGACATTGGTGGGCGGATCTATTTTGCACGGTAAGGGATTGCGGTGGAGTGAACCTAGCCATAGTCTCAGTGTTGTAACAAGAAACATTGCTTTCCCAGCACCCTGTTAGATATGCAGGTATCTCATAAAGGTTGAACCTCCCAGTGCAGTAAACCTGAGAACCTTGTCCATCCAACCTGTAATTTGACCTTAAATTGGAATCTGACTCATTGTGGTAGGGGGAGCTCTTAATGTGGACATAATGGGACATAATGTGCATGTGGCACACTACTGTGCTCTTCTCCAGGATTCTGTTTCCACTTCTACTGCCACCATGTTCACCGCTGGATCCTACAACGCTTCTGTCATTGGACTGCAACTGATGATTTAATCTGCTCAGGAGTTACATTGTCTCCAGCATCCAGCTCTATTTTCTGCACACCCAGAATAGAGCTGGGATGTACACTGCATAGCACATGCCTTCCTGTATGTCCCTTCTGTCTAAAAAATTCCTACTGATTGTTGCAGGACTTTAGTTTAGATTTCTGAATAAGATAGTGATCACACTACAGGAGCAATGGGGACAGGCTTCTGTAAAATCATGTTTACATAGAGAAGAAAAATAATGTTTTATTGTCAGTTATATAACTTAATGTTAGTCTGCTTAAACGAAAAGGTGAGTATAAAAAAAATAATAAAAAAATGGATTTAGTAACAGTTATGTATATTCTATTTATTATTATATATATGTTTTTAGCTACATTTAGCAGATATATATCATTATGGCAATTGTAGCCTGTTTGTATTGCTTTGGAAGCACACGATACAAGTGAGGAATTTCACTGTAGTATTTTTTTTTTAAGGATTTGAAGGGCAAGGATGACCCAGCAAATGCAAAATCTACAGCTTACTCAGTCTAAAAAAATCACAGCGCCCTCTTCACCCAATGCTGCCAAGCGCCTCTATCGAAATCTCTCTGAAAAACTGAAAGGCAGCCACTCGTCATTTGATGAGGCTTATTTCAAAGCAAGAGCGGACCGCTTTCGCAAGCCCTCTGTAGTAAGTGGATTTGATTTTACCTCTGTGATAATGTCAGTGGTGTTCATAAAGTGTTCTGTGGGTTGCCTTAAGCATTTTAGAATGCTGGTGAGAATTATTTACAGTTCACGTTTACTAGTTCATGTAAAAATGTTTTGTTAACATATGCAGATAAATGTGTCAGTGTTTTAGAATTGGATCAGGACTAAATATATTTAATATAAAGCAGAATAGGGAGCAGGTGACATACTATCCAGAAAGCTCACAGAAACATTCTGCCAAATGTTTTGTTTTTTGATCCAGTCACCTTTGATAGATAACACAGTTTAATCAAGTCTTGCAGCTCACTACAGGCTGCCCCAACCAATACATCTTGGTTTATGACAATAGGAGAACAGCAGCATTAATAAGGTCATTATTATGCTCTCCTTTTCTGTAAGCATAATATAAGGCTGACATCACTGTGGTCATCATGCACTACTCTCCCAGGATATATATTGTGGGATCTGTACAACTTGAACTACTTCTTTCCAAACCCAAAATTCCTTTATCTACTCCACAGTGTTAATACAGAGGGTATTCCAGTGATCCTTATTGTCGAACTGGCCCAGGCAGATGTGGTACTCCAACCTGTTCAAACTTCTGGCAAACACCCTGTGAATGGTTCCAGATTGACTGGATCTCCTATCTCAAGGACTAGTTTACCATCCTGCATAATGGTTGCTGGCTTTAATGGCATGGCTGTTGAGGCCCAAGTCTTAAGAGACGGGGGTCTTTCTGGTTTGGTAATTAAATGTAGGAAGTCTACCTCCCACAAGGTCTGCCATCACAGATAGAAGGCCTATTTCACCTGATTTGAGGAAACCTTTCTAGGAAATAGTCCATGTGAAGAATCCTTACCACTCTGCAATCAGGCCAGGATCAGTATTTAGCCTTAAGCCTTACCATCAAGGAACACATTTCAGTCTGTACAATCTTATTCTAAAGACTACTAGCCTCCCAAGACCTTTGTACAGGGTTTCTCTCATGTTTAAATTTGGTTTTGTTGGCACTTCAAAGACTGCCTTTTGAACCCACTGGGAATATTTCCATGCAACTCTCAGAAGGTTGCATTCCATGTTGCTATCACCTCTGCAAAACGTGTTTGGTTGTCCTATAAAGAACCCTATTTAGTCTTACACAGAGACATGGTGGCATTAAGACCTACAACCTCTTTCTCTTCTAAGATAGTTTTAGCCTTTTATCTCAGCCAGGACATTGTTCTTCCATCTCTAATACATCACATGGAAATTTCTTGTTACTGCTTGGATGTAGTTCATGCTGTGTGTGTTTACCCCTCAGCCACTACTTCCATTAGAGAGACTGACTCTTATTTTGTCATTTATGATGGTTCCCATAAGGGGGGATTCAGCTTCTCTTTCCACCATTTTCTAGGTGTCTCAGACAGAACATTGTCCAGGCTTTTGGTCCAAAGGACAAGGTTCCACCTTTTCTTGTCAAAGTGAACAAGTCTGGGAGTGTTTCTTGGGCATTTCAGCATCAGGCATCTGTTTCCCAGATTTGCAAGTCTGGCACTTGGTCTTCTGTTCACACGTTCTCTAGGTTTTACAAGGTGGATGTTCAGACATCATCTGATGCTGAATCCTGTATCCCTCAATGAATGAAAAAGTAAACAGGATTTTTGTAGAATCCTTTTCTTCAAGTTCATTGAGGAACACAGGTCCCACCCCTCCGTGTTTATGGTCTGGTCTCAACACTTTGCTTTGTTATAAAACTGAATGATACTGGAACTGGGAGGGGTTAAGCAATGCTGGCCACTGGATTTTTTTGTTTGCCAGTGTCCAAGGCCTCTTGTAGATGGCTTTGTAACCCCAAATGTCTCCAAATCCCCTTATCCCTCAATGAACTCAAAGAAAATGATTTTACGTTAGAGTCCAAAAACTATTTTTTTAGAAAAAAAACCCAATACAGTATAACCATAACTGGTAGAATAAAGGCAGAAAGTGAGTTTTAATAACATGTCCGTATCATTAGTTACATAGTATTTGAGGTTGAATAAAGACACAGGTCCATCAAGTTCAACCCATTGTGTGTATGCATGTGACTCTGCGTGTGTATGAGTCCCTGTGTGTTCTTGTTCTTAAGAGTACCTGTACCCCTGAATGTTATTGTCTCTGAGGAAATCGTCCAAATGCTTTTTGAAAGATTGAATACTCTCAGCTGAAATCACTGTCTGCGGCAGTGAGTTCCAAACCCGCTCTAACTGTGAAGAAGCCCCTTGTGCTGAAATCTTTTCTCCACCAGTTTTAGGTGGTGGCCTCTAGTCTTTGTTATGGAGTTTACCGTAAAAAGTTTACTACTGATGTTGCTATCCCCATTGAACATCTTGTACATCAAAATCATATCCCCCCATAATCTCCTCATAATCACCTCACTTCCAGGGTGAACATGTTTAAATTTAGTAACCTTGTCTCATAGCTTTGGTCCTCCATCCCCTTAGTTAGTTTGGTTGCCCTTCTCTGGACTCTTTCCAGCTCAAAGACATCCTTTCTGTGTATTGGTGACCAAAACTGGACCGCATACTCCAGATGAGGCCGAACCAGCGATCTATAAAGTGGTAAAATTATAGATTTGTCTCTACAGTAAATTACCTTTTTAATACAAGCCAGAACTCTGCTCGCTTTGTTTGCAGCAGCCTGGCATTGCAAGCTATTATTCGATCTGTGGCCTACTATGACCCCCAGATATTTATCCATTTCTGACTTCCCTAGAGGAGCACCTATTATTGTGTATTCCGTTTGCCTATTTTTAACCCTGAAGTGCATTACTTTACATTTATCAACATTAAACCTCATCTTCCATATAGTTGCCCACTCCCCTATTTTATCCAGGTCCTCCTGTAATGTTCTATTGTCTAAGTTCGTGTCGATTACCCTCCCAATTTTAGTATCATCAGCAAACAAGAAGACATGACTGTTTACGGCCTCCCCTATATCGTTAATAAACAGGCATCCTCTGAACCAACCCTTTCATTTCTAATATGTAACAGTTATCTGTAATTTTCCAGATATTACTGTGCTTAATGCAGGTTAGAAACACCCAGTGAATGTCCAAAGTGCATATATCTAGACATTTTGCAAAATCAAAGATTTTCTGATTTTTTTTTTTATCAGCCTGTGTTGTCTTATGTGCTTCTCCTCATTATAAGTGATGGAATATATTTTAATATTTATGAGCTGCCTTAATATTTTCTTTTCATAGTGGACATGCTGCTTTGGAATGTATTGTGTATATTTGCTGTGCTAATGCGACCATATTTCATTGCTAAACGATTTTCCAGTGCAGTGGTAGGACATAACTATTCCGAACTAGTCCATATTAAAAAAAATAGGGAGGATTTATTTCGATTGCCGAGGCACAAAACAATTTACTGTTAAATGTATTGTGGCTAGAATGAGAGAGTTTTACTTCTTAGTGATGATAAACGACAGAAAAAAAGAAAACTTACTATATTATATCTCTGAACTCAACATATCTGGTACTAAAAACTACACTGCAAAAACACGTTTAGGCAATTTTTATATCACAATAGATTTTTAAAGTAATGTTCATACTCTGCTTTCCCTGCTTTGCTATATGAGTGCAAAGTGTAGGGAGGAGCACAGCACCTTTTAAGAATGTGCAAGTATGCAGACTCTGTACCACTGTCCTGTTGCAAACCTGCTTTTTGGAGTGCCAGTGACAGTCACCAAAGAGGTTAATGATGATGACTGAAACAGGTGAAGCCAATTGATTCTTCTGTACATCTGCATGTAAATTCGGTACTGTGCGTTCCAGTATGGGCGATCAAACTGTGGGTGGGAGTTGCGTTTGGGGTGCCATTCAAATGAATGGCAATGCACACACCTCCAGTAACCAGAATGTGTGGTAGGTGCGATTAGGGACAGTGTGATTCACGCACTCTACTTGTGTGAACGGGCCCTCATTCTGCTTTGTTTTCACCTCGTTGTCACTATACAGGAAAATCGGGTGACCACTCACCAGCTATGTGTGAACTATTTCTTTATTCTTTTATAAAAGCATTACACAAACGATTAATTGAAACCTCTGATGCATTTCATTTACACAATCGCTCATAGTGTATACTGTGGACGGCAGTATAACCCAGTCGTCTTAGAATAACGGAATCCGGGGTCCCTAAATGAGCTCACAGGAATCAAACTTTACTTAAAATATTACAATCATATTAATGTAAAAAAGGCTGGTTTTGTTATTTTATCTTTTAAATGGACCATTAATTTTATTATATATATATATA